ATGTCAAAATGATGGTCCGCCGAGGGCTATTTGGGTCACATTTATGTTGTCATAAGGGCTACACACAACAGACCAATAGGAGTCATTCAATAACAACTATTGGGGAATATTTGTGCTGCAGGTCGCAGGTGTGCTTGCAAAGGCGCATTTTGACCTGCCCGCTTTAACCCTACCAGACCACTGGCCCAGTTTACCGGGAATTTTTTAACCTGTATATATACCGCTGGCCTTAATTTTCGGCTTTTTGCGTAGTACGGGAAAACGATACGTCACAGACTAAAAATAACCACCCAATCGTTATCAATCCTCTTTGTTAGACATTGCAAATGTCTGCCCGCACATGTTTGAATTATATTTGTGTCGTTTTACGTGGAAAAGTTCTGAAAATTCACAATGAAACGAGCGGCTGATGAGCCAAGTTCTAGGCTTTTCACAGTCCAACAGGTGATCGTTACTTTAGTTTATTCAGACTCTGTGATATATATATTCATTATCTGTGATAATTTCATAAAGAATACGTTCTTGAAGTGACACTGTCAGTGAGAGCGCGAATGATGAGGAAAATCTTGAAAATTATAAATCTCGAAATACGTCGATAGGAGGAAAAGGCGGTGTGTCCATCAAACGGCAACATCTGGTGTTCACTTTGTGAAACAAAGTTGATCCTGATGAATGAATTCGCATACAAAGATGGAATATTGGCGCTAGATAAAAGGTAAGCCTATTTTCTACAATGTCTCCAAGTTTCATCATATTCTAGCCACTTGTTTGCATATAACTAATATTTGTGTATATCATGTTGGTTTTTTTTCACGGTTATGCCCAGGAGCTCAGATTATAGGGACAGTTAGGTTTAAGGCCTCAGGTCTGGTAGGGTTGAAGACTATTACAAACCAACCCCAGCAATTGTTGGCTGCTTGTTGTTTTTTTACCAGATAGGTTTTATGGTCACTAGTTTGCCACGGCTGTCTCGACAGTACTGCCAAAATCAACGTAAAGAGCTTTGCTGCAAAATCACCCATGGCTAGTATCTCAGAATTGAACAAAACGCATCTGCAAAGCCACAGACACCGAGCTGGCAAAAGTAGCGTCTCCAATAAAAGAATGACAATGACAGTGAGAAAACGTGTGCTATATAGGAACGGACTGTGCTATGCAGAACCTGCACTATCACGTGCTTGTGAAACATGAACAACAAACAGACATGCTGAAAACATCTCATCTCAGCCAATCTGTGGTTTCTAAGAAAAAAAATGCAAAGAAAATGAAGTAACAGAAAAACAAACGTGGCAGCCCTTGAAATATCAAATCCAAAAACTAATTCAAGAAATCAGGGACGGTGAAGATATTTTACAGGACAGAAAGGAAAACTTTGTGGCAATCTATAACAGAGATTTCAACAAATGTGTGGTACTGAAATTAAACGCTTTCATGCAATATACTGATATTTTTGCAGTAAATGGCAAATCGTGTTTTTAAAACATTATCTCATATTAAACAGTTGTGTCAACATCATCATGTAGCAGGTCCTTTGCAGAACGTCGCTCTCATCACAGTCTGCCTGTAAGAAACTCGGTCTCTTGTCAGTTCTCCCGCCTCATGAACTTTCACACTCAAGGAGTCACTTATATCCTGTGCCCATCTTCGTGTCGGTCGGCCTCTCCCCCTCCTTCCTGGTACCATGCCTTCTGCTATAATTTTTTCCAATCCGTCGTGGCGCTTATTATGACCAAAATATTTATGTACAAAACAGTTATAAACCTCAAGATAATCTCACTATGAATATAAATATGGCTAACATTAACCTCACCATGAACCAGACCAAGAAGACTGTGGAGAGATAATATAAAAGCACTTGGAATAACCAAACTGGAAATAGAAAGCCAGTCATGGAGATGAATAGAGATGGGTCATATCTGCAGCACTAAACCTCAAGGGCTGGGAATGCCGAAAAAGAAGCTTACTTTGGTCACATATGACCACTGAATGACAACACCAACTGGCACAAAGGACTGAGCAGTACAGCTTGAAGTTTCTGCTGTTGGGTTCTCTCCTATGCTTATTTAAATCATTTCCTTTCGTACATTTTATTATCAATGCAGAGCTGTGTTGCTGAGATCTTGTCTTTGAGCAGTTTTCCTCTCGCCTGTTTGTTGCAATTTTCTTACCTAATAATTTTAATACCCTTACTAAGCACCTGACTGAGCTACCCAAGATTTGAATCAACAGCATGAAATTATAAACTAATGGGCTCTATAGAAACGCCAACTTAAAGCTGTAAGGGAAGGGACATTGGGTAAGCCGTATGAGAACAGCAATGGATAAGTCAGGTACATTGTGACAGGGGGGGTCACAACTTAGGTCCCGTGATCCCACAAACACAAAATTTATAATAAATATATTTATTTGCCATTTTTAACATCATTATTATACACTTAAACAAAGAGGGCGGAGGCTACTCCCCTCAATGTTTTCTTTGTGTCAGTGCCCCTGGATAGAACGCCCCGACATGAGCTGGTTAATGGTCAATTTTCTGCTGGAGAGGATAAGAGGCAGAAAAGGGGGGGGGGTGGGGGAGAGATAAATGGAACAATACAAACTCTGTTTAACTGACCACATCAACAAAGAAGGACATACCCACTTAATCAACTACATGAAGCACTTAAGTGAACTAAGCATAATGCATGTTGCCAACCGAGAAATGTCAATCAGTAGAATATCACTGTAAACTGACTTACATTCTCTCTGTAACAACAAGCTTTAAACTCAAGGAAATATTTACAAAAACTGCCGTAAATTTACTTAACACAGCACTGTCAGGGCCCCAAGTTTAGCTGACGTAATCCGGCAGACGGAATGCTTCCTGTGTCAGCCCGAGTGCATGACCAAAACTGTGGACACATAAAATGATCAAATTAGAAAATATAGCCAGACAGAAGGCAGGCAGTGACAATTAAACATAATAATTATCAACACACAAGTAAAAAGCCAATTCCCATTTCCATGCCCTGAGCTAGATTGGGCCTACAGTGTTGGTCCCAGATTCTTAGAGCCCAATACAATACTCAATTGGTGATGCGTCAAAATAACGTCTGTATGACTTTATTTCCCAAGGCACTTCCTAGTACATCCCTGTGTGGTTTCCGAGATTCCATTGTGGGAAAAACAAGAATAGACCCACTGCCTGCACAAAAGCATGTCGCTATAGTCGACTAATTGGGAGTTTCGTCTGAAGTCGGAGTATATTTGCCTGAGAAACAAGCAACCAAAAGTCTGCATGCAAATGAGTCAGACCTGTGAAATTGATGTGCACGCAACACTCAGTTTCTGGAACAGGACTAGAGTTCAGAAGTGGACAAACAGCCAGAACTTTCCGCCGGAGTTTACAGCTGGTGAACGAGAAGAATGACTTCCTAGTACATATTTTAGGCTGGGAGACTGAGACTACGTGAACTCTTCAGCAATGGAGATTCAAGCTTACAAAAACTGCGTCTGTATGTAAGCAACAGTAGCATGACAGGTTCCTAAAAATTTTCGCATTAGCATTTTTCATCACTCACATACCTTTAATTTGTGTCTATTCCTGGGGCCTATTTTGGAAGAAGAAAAGAATAGACCCTCCTGGACCCTGACAAGCATGCTGTAGGAGACGACTTATTAGGGGAGTTTCCTTCGAAGTCAGAGTGCATCTGCCTGAGATACTAACAATGAGTTTCCTGTGCAGTTTCCAGGGCCTTATTGTAGGAAAGACAAGAACAGACTCACTGCCTCCCCAAAAAGTATATTGTAGGAGTCGACTAACTGGGGACTTCCTTTGAAGTCGGAGCACATCTGCCTGAGAGGCACCAAACCAACAGTCTGCACACAAATAAGCCAGATCTATACTCAAAATCTGGAACAAGAACCAAGTCCAGAAGTGGACAAACTACCAGAACTTTCCACTGGAGTTTCTGCAGGTGAACACTTAGAAGAAGTTTTGTGTTTACCAGTTTTTACGTCAACTTTTCTTCTCAGTCATTCTTAAAAGAGCAGTTGAACACTGTATTTTGTTTACAACTGCACTTTTTGACCCAACGCATAGGAATTCAGAAAACTTATAATTAGTCGCTTTTTATCTTCTTATTCTCGTTCACCGGCTGTAAACTCTGGGTGTTCATCCACCTCCAGATTGTAGTCTTGTTCCAGAACCTGAGTGCTGCGTCTACATCCGTTTCACAGACCTGGCTTATTTGTATGCAGACTTGTGGTTCTCGCCTCTCAGGCAGATGTACTCCGACTTCCAAGGAAGTCCCCAGTCAGTTGACTCTTAGGACATGCTGGTTGGGGAGGCAGTGAGTCTCTTCTTGTCTTCTCCACAATGGGGCCCCAGAACCCACATGGGAAATTCACTATTTATGACATGCTTGTTACGACACAGTGGGTCTTCTTTTTCCATGCAAACTGGGGCCAAGGAAAATACTTGGCATGCTGTCAAACAATACCCACCCACTCATTCTGCTGTACCATTATATGTTGCATAAGGCTTGCAGTTTACTCTCTCATTCCATTTTAGCCTGGGAAATTGTTTTTAAAGCCAGAGATGGAATCATGTCTTGCTCTTCTATCTCTTCAATGTCCATCTTAAGTTTTCTTTTGGATGTCTTGGTCTCCTCAGTCCGTTTCTTTCCCATTTAAGCACCTGTTTATGCTTCTCCACTCACATCTCCTTAGTATATGCCCAAGATATCACCATCTTCTCTGTTGATCCCAGTGGTTGTCCAGACATTTCTCTTGTTTCTTTGCCTTTCTTGAAGTTATCTGTTTAACAGTTAATTAAGTAATCTAAGACACTTTAGAAATAATAGAGGCTGGCTGTGAGGGAGAGAAAGAGTTGCATCAATATACAAACGACACCTAAAAATATTTTTAAAAATAAATTAAACCTGACATGGTAATGAAAGGTAAAAATAATGTTACCTTAGAAAAGAGCTGCAAGTTAGGGTAAGCAATAAGGAGCTTGTTCAACCCCATCCTGGTGATTCTGGAGGGATAGTTACATAAGCCAGCGTTTGACCTGCTCTGTAAAAACAGAAACAATATCAATTTAGTTAAGCAAATGGCCATATTAGCTAAACAAGCCGCAAACAAATAAAGTAGTCACTGCACGGAGAGATACAGAAACACACCTCAAGCATTTTCAAATCATGCAAGAGATAAGTGTAAAATAAACAGTTATAAGGTGTTTAATGGCAAGAGAATCAACTTCATTGCGCTAGGTTTTATGCCACATGGCTTGTTCTTTCTTTCTGTAGAGTGGCTGGTCGTCAACGAATGTATTACTTCTTGTTTTTCAGCATTCTTAGTCCTTCGAGATCATTGTTGCAGATATCACCCACCTCTGTTCGTCTGAGTGACTGGCCTGGTCTTTCCAGTGGAATACTTTAAGTATCTGAAGGTCTGCCTGTGTATTATCTATCATCTATTAAGGCTGCTTCATAGTCTACTCACATTCAAGTCTTTTATGTAAGCAGTTTTTGAAACATTGTGAAAACAATACAGGAAAATTACTCCCTTCTGCACTTGCAATCTAGCCTTACTCGCTAGTTGTCGATTTCTCATCACTCCTGCTGTACAGCCTTTGCTCTCAGATGACAATGGTTGCCGTTCTGCAGCACAAAGCAGGCCTTTCTTAGCATGAGGAACCAACAACTATCGGAAGTACATCCTCATTCCTTAATCATAGCAATCAAAAACAGTGTGTTATCACTGAACAATCTTAACATGTGTGTTAGCACTGAACAATCTCAACCCAGTGTCTTTTCACTGGACAATCTCAACACAGTGTGTTATCACTGAACAATCTCAACACAGTGTGTTACCAATGAACAGTCATCACAGATCTGGAACAAGGGGTCAGATACTATCTAGCAATTGCAGAAAAATCATTGTTGACACTCATTGCTAACAGTATACACATCATCCCCCTTGTGTATTTAGTTAATCTGTGTTTTAATTCACTTTTTATTTTCAACGTTAAACAATCTTCACACACAAAAACCACATCAACAGATCACTGCACCATACTGGCATTTTTTAATGCAGTGATATCAATTACTGACTGAATCATTCTTCTTCTAATGCGAGTTTAAAGGATCCACTGGTGGGGTGAAGGAAATAGTCCCCCCCCCTCCCAACAGCAGGAATGTTGTAAAAGGTGACTAACTGGGAATGTTGCATTCAAAGTTTGCATGTATCTGCCTGAGAGGCAAGGAACCAACAGTCTGCATATAAGCCAGAAGTGTAAAATAGATGTGCACACATGACTCAAGTTCTGGAATGAGACCAAATCCCAGAAGTGGACGAAAAACCATCAATTTCTACTGGTGAAACATGAAAAAGACAAAGACTGATTACAAGAAGTATCATCATGTCATCCTAAAGTTCTGGGTGTTTACCCACCTCTGGACTTTAGCCTTTCTCCAGAACCTAAGTGTAGCGTGCAAATCCGTTTTCCAGATCTGACTTATTTGTATGCAGATTGTTGGGTCCTGCCTCTCAGGCAGATGCACTCCAACTTCAATGAAAGCCCCCCCGTTAGTCAACTCTTATGACATGCTTGTTGGGGAAGCAGTGGGTCTCTTTCTCTGTCAATGAGGTCCAGGAACCCTCACGGGGGAAGAACACATTCATCAGACATGGATACATTTGGATGAATCACACTTACTGTGTACCAGCGATCTGGTAGGCTGACTGACTCCTGGAGTCAAATACCAACAAACCATCATCTGATAAACTGAAAAAGAGAATTTGAAAATCTTTAATAAAATAATAATTTGAAAAAAAAAATATAATTCAACTGTCTCAAGGGCAACTATTCTGAGTTTGAAACATAATTAATGTTAGCCTTGGCTTCATGCGGAATACATAATGATGCAACTTTCACTAGATAAATAAAATGGTGGGTTACTTGTCATCTGCTGACCGGACGACATTCCAACTTTGCCAGATCATTGACGAATGGTGCCTGTCTGGATGGCATATTGTGCACACGGATGGCATTTTTGTTTTGGCCATAACACTATCAGTCTCATTATTTGTCAGACCAGTTCCTTCCCTTAGTGTCCTTTCTTCCGAGGACATTATCTACTAATCATTTTCTGGTTGGCAAAAACACTGCCTTTTCTGGGGACTGAACATGGACCATAGTTTTGGGAGGCAGCTGCCCCAACCACTACACAACCATGGCTCCTCTTGGTAGGATACAGTGATGAGGTGTTAAGTGTCACTTGCTTCCACTAGGTAAAGTAAAGATCCCTTTTCATGCCTTTAGGCACATCGGGCATATGGGAAGAGCACCCATATTTTTACAGACCAATCGGCACTAGGTGGATAATGTGGTCAGCATTACATCAGCCGTCTTTACTTTCCCAGGACATATATCCTGTTACCCATTTTAGGCTGGGCTGACCTGCAACACCCCATACCATGATAAGAATCCACGCAGCCAGCAGTGGGTTTCGAATGCCGTACGGTGGAATTACGAGTCGGACTTGCAATGCTCAAGCCATGGACATCTCTGCTTCCGCTAAGGGCCCTGTTAACACATGGGTCTTTTCACCTTAAAATTCCTCCTTTCCCATATTACTTTTCTTCTTTTAAAGTTTCCCCGAACAGGCAGGTAGAATGTAGGATTAAGATCTCCAGAATGAGAATCAAACAGCTACAAATCCTGGACACTCCACTCAATCGTACAGCACAGTTTAATCTAGAGCACCACAAAACAGTTTGAAGTAACCTGAAGTCCAATGTGGATGGGTGTCTTATTACTTTTAAACATTACACTAATATAAGACAGTGTACTCTGCACTTCTGTGCACCCTACAGAGAAACATCTGCATAGAAACAACTAGAACAAAAACATAAGACACTAAACAAACAAAATATAAATTATCATAATTGTTAAGGAACAACTTACCACTGATCCCCATCTACCGACCCTTGATCTGAGAACACGAGCATGGTTTTTGAAGACCTGTCAACTCTGAATGAAACAATAAAAATATAGGTTAATTCATTAATAGTATACATCAGCATGCTTATTCCTAGAAAAAAAAGGTGCTGGTACTCACACAAGGTGTCTAATAACAGGTGCCGGTATGCACCATAAAGTGACTATTACAGTAGTGCTGAAAGAGGATGCTTAAAAAAAGGTGCCGGTACCATGTACCGCCGGGAAAGGGTGGGGGGGGGGGGGGGGTTATAGATAATGTTAGGTTCAGTAGTTTGCCATTTTAAGAATAGTTGGTACTCCATACTACTATCAAAATCAAAATAAAGTGGTCTGATGCCAAACTGCTTGCAGATGGAAGCAAACTGCAGTGTTACTTCGGTATACGTCCGTTTTCAAATAAGTAACCTGGTATACATCTTGTTTAGACGCAAAAATGTTGTTTGGTATGACCTTTGTTTGGAATTTGACTCGCTTGTTAGAACTTGCAAGAGTCAAAATGAGCCAAAACACCGCACTCAACAAGGTAAAGTCAAGTTAACTTTTCATTTAATTTAATTTCATAGCAGTGTTAAATTACTTTATACAACCCCATCAATGTATAAAATGCTAAAATAAACAGGAATTTTTTTCAAGGGGACAAATTAATCATTCTCCCATAACCTCTTATGGTAAATTTAGCTTGGTATGTCTAAAGATGTGAAACGGATTAAGGACAAATACCTAGGTATATGCGAAACAATTTTTTTAAACTGATCTATGCTATCATGTCAACAAAGTATAAAATGGATACCAGGAACGATTTTGGAAAGTAAGGGTGGATGGTGTGATCACCTATCAAATCCAGTTTATCAATCCAGTTGTCTGTCACATTTCACAACACAAAGCTAAACTTCTCTCCTGCTTACGACTCTGCCATAAGTGAGAAGTTTTCCATTTTTTATGGTGCTCAAAAAGTGTGGATGGCCTTCCTGAAGGAATCCACCAGCTCTCTTTGTGGGTTCATTTCTTTCAAGACATCTTCATAATGCATTTGATTTGTCTGTGGCATTCTTATCAATCTATAAAACCATATCTTGCCAGCTTCCACAGATTCCTCACCCCACCAATCTGCCAAATGTCCCCAATTCACTTTCATACATCTTTCATTTGCCTGTATGTCATTAAAATTTGCTGGACACCAGGAGCCTCTCTTGGTAGTGGTGAAACCCCACAAAAAGCTTGGTTTGAGCACATGGTGAGACATAATTCAGTTGCAAAGACTGTACTTCAAGGAACATTTGGGGGTAGTCGAAGAAGAGGAGGGCAAAGAAGTTTCTGGAATGACAACATCAAGAAATGGAGAGGACTAAGTTATCATACACTTATTCTGATCTGTAAAATGAATGTGCATGCAAAATTTGAGTTGTGGAACAAGGCTGAAATGCAGACGTGGACAAAAACCAAAATTTTCCATTTACAACCGGTGAATGCTAATAAGAAGATAGAATTTCCAAATGCTGTGGCTTTTTTTTATGCAAACAAGACCAACCTTTCATTGCTAAGGAAGGCTAGATATCCAAGCTAACGACCCCAAACATGTTTGATATAATTAGATAACTACAGATGTTTGTAAAAATTCCCAGTGCTAGACAGGGATTGAACCCAATAACTTCTGCACTAAAGGTGGATAACCAAACCTCTCATATGCTAACACAAGTTTTTTAGATACTCTGTCGTTAGTACTGAACACCCCCCCCTCTCCCCCCCCCCCCCCCCAAAGGCCTGCTTATTTAAGTCTAGGAAAGTTCCCTCCTTGGACAAGCAACAAGTGATTGGAATAAAAGCTTTAAAGCATTCACACAAATGGATAGATTACACAATAAAAAATCATAACATACTTTGCTTTTGCATGAGTGAGAATGTGTGATTTGAGATTTGTAGACTGTGCAAACTTTTTGTTGCAACCATCAAATGGACAAACATAAGGCCGGTCACCGGTGTGAATTCTGACATGTGTTCGGAGGTTGAAGTCCAAGGAAAACCGTTTACCACATCCTTCAAAAGTACACTGCAAAGACACACACACAGTTTCCTGAGCATTAAACTCATTCGTTGCCAAAAGAATTACCAAGATGATGTAACTTACTCTCTTCTATTTGACTAAAACACTTTCAATTCTTTACTTCTTCTTGGTGTTCACCATCTGTAACTCCGACAGAAAGCTCTGGTTGTTCATCCACTTCTGGATTTCAGTCTTCTTTCCGAACTTGAGTTCTGCATGCACATCCGTTTTACAGATATGGTTTATTTGTAAGCACACTGTTGATTCCTCGCCTCTCAGATCAGATGCACTCCCACTTTGAAGGAGACATTAAATAATGTCGTCCTCCCCATGTGGGATGCAATTTTTTTGTTATTTGAAGCCCCACCCCAGCTTTTGCCGGGGGGCCCTGAATATAGCCGGGCGGCCCTGAATATAGCCGGGCCATGAATGTGGCCAAAGCGGCTGAAAGGGGTTTCTAGGACCTCTGCATGGGTGATCCTCATCCGCATGGTGGCACTTTGTGACACCGGCGGGTGTTTATTGGTTGTGTGATGTCCTGGTGGGGTACAACAAGCATGCAAGTGAAGAAAACACCCTTATTTATTTGACTTTTACACTATGCTTGTTAGAGGGCAGCGAGTCTATCCCCCCCCCCCCCCCACACAAACGAGGCTCTGGAATCTATGCAGGGATGCAAGAGGATTCTATCCTAGTTCTCCTAAATGAAAACCAAGCATTCATAATCACCTACTTTTATAATAATACCAACAAATTCTATAAGCTTGTTCTTTCTTAGACATGACTGCATGCCCTTTAAAATCAAAGTTTGTTCGTCTCTTTATAATCCTTGACTCAATGAATACCAAGCAAAAACACCCTACCTTCATTTGTTTACATTTGTATTTTTGCCCTTCAAGATTGCAGACTGTAGGAATAACTTCTCAAGGCTGAGAGAGAGAATCAAACAGCTACAAATCCTAGAAACCTTGTTCAACCATACAGTCGTGAAGCCCAGTTATATTAGGGCTCTATAAAACAGTTATGAACTGACCTTGAGTCCTGTGTGGGTGGGTGTGATAGTTAACACCCCCCCCCCCCCCCCCCCAGCAAGTCGTCATTTCACAGCAGTTCATAATACAATAACTGACCAGGGCAGAAATATGATCACTTTCAATGATCCTGTCAGAGTAGTTGACTTTATGACTAGCCTGTCGGAGTATATGACTAGCCTGTTTAAGCAGTTAACTATATGACTAGCCGGTCAGAATAGCGGACTATATTGTGGGTTAATAGACCAACTTTATGGTACAGAAAGAGTTATCCCTGTGCGGGTTGCAGGGACCAACTGCCAGTGAATCAGGTGTCACAAAAGATGACTAATTAGAGGTTTGCTGAAAAATGAAGGTGTCTGACTGAAAGGCCAATGCCACAGCTTTACTGTTAACCACAATACCATGCCCCCCCCCCCCTCCCCGAAAGGGTGAACAAATAAGAAAGAGTTTAAATTGACATCTGACTCTGAACACTTTAGTAACTGCAATTAGAACTCACCTGAAATGGTTTTTCCCCAGTATGAACAAGCTGATGCCTTTTTAACTTGGAGCTTTCAACAAATGCCTTGCCACACTCAGCACAAACGTGGACCCTAGGCCCATGTGTATGAAGGTGTTTGCGCATTGCGGAATTGTCCCTGAACATCTTGTTGCAGCCCTTGGCAGACAATAATGAATTTTATGTCACACAAAGTTGCAGGTCCTTGATGGACAATAATAAATTTCATTTCAGACAAAGTTGCAGCCCTAGGCAGACAATGATCAACACATAAAATAAAGCTATCACTCAAGTGGTTTGGCCGTCTCATTAGAATGCAGCAACATCAAAGACCATCACAGGCACTGCATCTCAGAAGATCAGCTTCAAGAGCAAAAGGATGATGATAACATTAAAGATATACTTTACGCCATCATGACATAATAACAGCCAACCTGCAGTGATCAAAGATTATTCCTTCCCACAATGCTTAACTGCATCAGTGGTTTATAATGATGATGATGATAACTTAAGTATTACCAGGGCTCTTAGGGAAAGCAAGGAATGAAATACTGCACCATACCAGGCAGCAAGCTGTGGCAACATAGTGGCCAGACACTTGCCTGCCAGCCCAAAGGCAAAAAGTTCAAATCTGCATTGAGGCAGATTATTTTTTTTTTTTCAAAACTAATCTTGGCTTCCCCGGTCGACCCAGCCTAAAACTGATACCAGGTTATGTCCTGGGAAATAAAGGCCGTCAGCTAGAGATTCTTACCACATCATTCATCTATTGGTCTATGCAAATATAGATCTAGCACTGTATGTCAAGGATGTGAAAGGGGACTTTGCTTTATTTTACTATAGAAAGAGAATATTTAGGGTAAGGGTGGGTTTGGCTACTCTTTCGAGTGAAAAACTACAGCCCCAAAAAACCACCAACTATGAACAAAGCGAAAAATAATAAAGGCTGAAGAAGAAAAAAACATGGGGAAGAGAACTGGAGAATGGGTGGGTGAACAATACAAGGGGATATGGGGTGAGCTGGACACAATACAAATAATAGGCAACTGGGGTGGGGGTGTCTAAATAGAAGAATACAAAATAAACAATCTCTATCTGAACCAATTAACTACAGCTTGTTATGTGGGCAGTAGGTATCCCCACCCCTTTCCCCGGCTAATCCAAATGAAGAGCCTAGTACTGAGTGAGGTAGGGACACTCAAAACTCATTTTGGTTACCAGGCCGACCTAGTCTTAAATAGGTACACGGAAATTTCCCTGAAAGTAAAAGCAGCAAGAGTTATACTGACCAACATCCCCTGCCAGTGCTGACTGGCCTATATATATATATTCTTCTCTAGTCCTGTTCTGCCTTTCAGCATCAGGTTTTGAAGAGACCCTGGTATATGTGGACTCATATATTTCATCTTTTCACTGCTAGCATGATCAGCCTCTGGCTCTGCTTCCACTGTATCAAAATGACAAAGCTCTCTCTGGAGAACTATCTAGTGGTAGTCTTCACATACGTTTGAACCATCTGATCTGTTGTCTCCTGATGTAGACTAGTATTCTGGTCCCATGCCAATCAATTTCCTGATACCAGAGCAACATACACCGAAAATGTGAAAACAGGACCTTTTATTTGTTTTATTCTCCTCTAAGCCCGAGGAGGAGAACTACTAGAGCAAGGGTTCTCAACCGTCCTAATGCCACGACCATTTAAAACAGCTTCTTATGTTATGGCGAACCCCAATCATATCATTATTTTCATCGCTACTTCAAAACTTTAATGATATGTGTTCTGCGATGGTCATTCGACGACCCCTGTGAAAGGGTCATTCGACCCAAAATAGGGCAGCGACCCATAGTTTGAGGACTGTTGCACTACAGATACAGAACAAAAATTAAATGTATTCTTCCTCTTTTGTTCACCTAAAACAAGTTGTCTATATTGGCAATTTCATCTTGATTCAATGTATGAAAAAATAAATGCCTAAGAATTGCAGTAAAGAAAGCCTAAGAAGCAAGAGAATAAACTGGTTAAATACTTGTACCAAGTTATCTGTTTTTTTTTTAAAAGGCATTATAAAGAGCGTACCATGAGCAGATGTGGATAGAGAATTGCCAAACAGGCACCGAAATGTGAAACAACAGGATAAAAGAAACAAGGGTGTACTAGAGAAACCCTGCTACAAATGTTGAGAAAGTTCAAAAGTGGTGGGCTGGGTTCCATCTGCGACATTGAAAGGATTAACAGAACAGAATGGAGGACAAGATGTGAGCCCTATGTGACACAAAGGCATGACAGATTTAATCATTATGATTAAGTCTGAGAAAAGGCATATTTAACAGATCACTGATATGTCAAATAAAACTGATGCCACCATAAGAGACAAGAAACAAAATAATATTTTTCCAAAAATGCTTCCTCCCCCCCCCCCCCCCCCCCCCCCCACACACACACACTTTGAACAAAAAGGAATTTAAAAAAATATGCATAAAGAAATTGTGCAGTACCTTATGTGGACAGGGCACTGTGCGAGGCACATCATCTGTTGGTTTCCTAGGCTTTATCCTGTCCCAACAAAAATCAGAAAACCCACAACAAACAGCCTGTCCACAAAACATGTCATGTTTGCAAACAAGAAAATCATTATCTAATATTATAATACAATAATTATATTTGAGAATGTAGAGGTTTATCATCACACACTGTGGCTTCTGGGCAATATGGAAAACGGGCAGGTTTATTTAACAATAGTAAATTGTTGCTTTTTGGCAGGCAGGCAGGTTTACTCTATTTAGCAATGGTAAATTTTTGCTTTTAGCAAAAGTTAGCTGTTGCATTTTCCTCAGTATGAAAGGATACAGTTCCCTCAGCAAACTACTGAGCTGGTGCATGGTGTGACTCACTCCCAAGGGCTTCAACTGGTTGGGATCTATCTACTCCGCTTCACTGTCATCCTAGAAACGGCTAACGAAGACCTGGCTTATCAGCGTTTTCAAAGTGTACCTGCCCCACATGTGAGGAACCAACAGTCTGCACCCAATAAGCTAAATCCTAACATACTAACTATTATGAATCCTACTGAACAGAAATTATCATAAGAATAAAGGTTACATTGCAATACAATGAATTATGTATAAATAATGCAGAAATATTGAGATCTAACATATGGAAGAGACATCTGGATCCTAAACTCCCGGAAATGCAGAATTGTTGAGTCTTCTGCGCTTCACTGATCACCAGGAAGAAACATGGGTCTGAAATCTCTTGTAATCTAACACAGAAAAAACTGGGTACTTCTCACGATTCTGGCCGCAAGAGCCAGCGCCTTCCGAGGGCATGAGATTTCCCGTCGCTTTTATTCATGGCCGTGGCCTTTTTCATGGGCTGTTGTCTGTTCTATGGGTGTCAGCATATGCGTCATTTCCTGCACGTGTCTCTTTCCTACCATGTGACACTGAGCGACAGGATGCTTTTTTGTCTTTCTTGCTGTTTTGTTTCTTTCTGTGTGGGGGCGAGTGTTCGACAAACTTCTCGTGTCTGTGTGAGCTGCGTGTCTTCTCTGACCGTCAGTGGTTTGAGAATTTGTGACATTTTGGGGTGAGTCCTAAAAAGGGCCATCTGGCAACTCTCCAAGTAAGACCGCAGTGGACAGCGATGAACAGCCAACGCAAAGAAGATGTAACACACAAAGTGTGGACAACGACACGGAAAATAGAATGCGCTATTGGCCGCTCATGATTGGAACAAAGAGCACTTTGAGCACTAAAAAAAAAAACCACAATGTGACACCCTAGAACATACAGCAGCCCATGGGAAAGGTCATAGCCATGAATGGAGCCTACAGGCAATTTTGTGTCCAGGCGAGACGCAGGCTCGTGCAGGCAGAATCGTGAGTGGTACCAACAATTGCATCTCAAAATTAATAGGTACCTGGCAAACTCTGCCAACTGTTTTGGATCACTAAGGTCAAGGCCAGGAATTCCCCCAGGAGGCATTTTCTTCCCTGTCATGTATTCAGCAAAATCTGCATCGGAGTCTCCAGCCACAGAGTCTTCATCTAACTTCGACTGATCTTCTGGAAATGTTTGTAAGAACAGCATTAATCATTGTCTCATTGTTCAGCTCGACTGATCTTCTGGAAATGTTTGTAAGAACAGCATTAATCAATGTCTCATTGTTCAGCTTAACTGCTCTTCTAGAAATGTTTGTAAGAATAGCATTAATCATTGTCACACTGGTCAGCTGACATAAAAATGCAAAGGTTTTAACCTTCTGATCCTGAAAAGCCACAAAACCTACACTTCAGGTTGGTACCATTAACTTGTAAAAAAAAGTAGATTTCCCGTCGTTATTGAGACATGTTTATGAGATGTCTAACTAACAGAATTCACTGCATCTGCACAAATCTTCAGTATGACATGTGATGACAAAATTTACTTTAAAAAAGGCATTAGAAAATGGGAAGGGGGTGTGTGTGTGTGTGGTTAATTCTTTTTTTTTTGAACGGTTTTATTTATGGAAATTAGTGGTCTTCCTGTCAAAATGGGCGCTAGACACGGGCACTGTTTGAAGCTGAGCTAAACTTTTTGCTTCTGCCAGACAGTGACCATTGCATTTTTGCTTCATTTGTAGACTGAAAGGATATAGTTTTGTCGCCTAGCTTTTGAGCTGAATGCATGGCGTGACACTGTGAGCTGCAGATTTCATTTGGAATGTTTTTTCGGCTGTGACCAACGTGGTGGCGTGAATTGTAGATTCAGAAAATGGTGCGCCGCCTGCTGTCGCAATATTGGTGGTGCCCTTATGTGATTAAAATTGATCGCATGTGCAACTGCTGATCTGTTGGTGACTTCTACTACCATCAATGATGAACTGCATTTCTAATGTCGGACTGTTTCGTGTTAGCACTTCGGATGGCTACCGTATGCTTTCAATGCATGTGTATGCTAGATATGCTTAGACAGTAGTCTGTCAATCTTTCCACAAGGGGCGGTGATAAACATTCTGTGTGTTTTTCATTGGCACAGGAGTGGAGCAACGATGGGGTGATCCGTTTGCTATGAAGCTGAAACTAAGACTACCAGATTATACTACGGAAATTCCTACATCAAATTTTTCTGACTGGCTAGTGGTAACTTGGCAAATGGGTCAAGTAAGCACACACTTTAATTTACAGGCCTCGATAGATGTGAGCCAGTTAATTTATGTTAGAGGGGTGTCATGTTGTCTTGTGTAAGTTAAGAGCTTTGTACAATGTGCATATATAGGCAGCTAGCTACAGTGTGTGTTAGTCACTGTTGAAAGTGGGCGGCGATACTGCGTATATCACAGAGTTCAGGTACGACAGGAATTTAGGTCAGCTGCCAGCACTGACTAGTTACAAGGAGGAAAGCGTTGCCTTTCTGCAGCAAGATGGGTTTTTAACAGAAAATGTTAACAATTCTGAAACCATGGAATGTTCTCTGGACTCTCTCGTGGGACCTAGGTTGAGGGGTGGGGTTTGGTTAGGGCCGTTCTATATGTTCTGCGGTTGTTAAAAGCGGTGTCATTGTGTAGTATAGAACATGCAACATCGTCGCTGATAGCATCTGAAATATGAGACAAAAGGGCGTGACACCCTTTAAAATAGACTAGCCCGTGTCACAGGTGAGAAAGCATGAAAGAAAGCCCAATTACGCTCTATTTGGGCTGGACTTTAAAAAAAAGAAGCAATTTTGAACGTAGTCACTCCTTTTGATTACTATTGGAACTAGTTTAAGTTAATAATAGTACTCTGCAGATTTGAAATTTATCATTATGAACAAGTAACAGTATTACTGATTTTGATCAGAATATTATCAACAAATGCATTACCATCTTAGTCAGAGAATTCCAACTTAAAAAAAAAAAAAAATTTGAGTGGATGAAGCTTAAACATAACCCACTGTTTCAAGATACACTTATTAGCAAACTTTTGAATAGATAAAGCAAGGAGTAAGACAGAGATGTGTCAAATTCCCCAGACCCTTTCTCTCTATATATAGTGAAATAATTTTGAGGGAAATTAAAGAGAATGCAGGAGTAAGAGCTGGAGGATACAAATAAACAATTTGCGTTATGCAGATTATAGAGTTTTAATATAATAGCTGAAAATGCAACAGATTTACAACTACTGCATATTGTGGGGATGGAGAGTGCTAAGAAAGGACTGTCATTGAATATTAAGAGAACGGAAGTAATGGTTATATTACAGAAGAGGATAATTATTTTTAGGTTGTGATATCTCAGAGAAACATTGCAGAACATCGTGACTCGTGACAACTAGAGAGTGGAATGAAAAAGGGGAGGAGGCAGACCAAGGGAGACGATGCTGGATGGGCTAAAACGATGGCATGGAGGGATATATCAAGAGAGCTGTTCCAGTCAACCAGGGATCGTGATCTGTGGAGACGCATGAGCGCCTACGTCAATTGGCAGGGCACATGATTATGATAATCGTTTACAATAGAACCCATTTTGGTAGGTGATGACGATTTCGATTTGTTTACATGGATATACCACCACATTACATCACGTGGCATCTATAAATAACCAAGGGAATTCCACTTCCGCTATAAGTTCCGTTACTGTAGTCGCTCAAGGTTACCGAAGGTCATTTCGTAATGAAATTCTGTAATTACGCATTAATTTCAAAACAGAGATTGCAAATTACGATAATACTATTACAAATAATTTTTCTGTTCTAGTAAGATCACCTTATAATGTAAAACAAGTCATCAATAGCCCTGCAACCTTCTCCTGACAAGATTAGGAAGAAACTCAAAGATCAGCCAAAATGGCGGCCGGTCGCCATGTTCACAATTCCCTCCGCCATTTTCAAGAAGAATATGGCGGCGCCCATAGAATAGAAATGGCCGACTTAGAATCAAAACAAACCTTGAAGTACGTGTATATTTTGACTTTACGTTAGGTAAATGAACAAAGTAATCAACGAACCACAAATAGACAAAACTGGCTTGCAAAATAACGCGCTTAAATCATTTAGGTCACGGTGGTCTCTTGTTCGCCCATAGTCCACGATTAATTATTTAGTAAAGTAAACTGGAAATAACTACTTACTTAATCAATCTCAATCACTGGAATTATTTCACAACTTCTATACATTTTAATACAAATTTTTCACCCAATTATCTGACGTAAATATCAGGATACAAGCTCAATACTCCTACTTACCCGATGCCCACATAGTTACAGAAAATTCCCCTTCCAGTGTTTTTATCTGAACTTGTTTCTGCTCCCATTTTTTCACAGAAGAATCACCGAGTCCTAAATCGTTCACAGTGATACCACCTGACTGAGCATTTCTTGATTTTCCCTTCCGTTTACCACCTTTCCCTCTTCGCATAGGAATAACTTCCTCCGTGGAAATTTCAATTTCTGGGGCTGGCACTGGAATTGTATCCGCATAGACAAGATTTGAATCACCAACCACTTCTTCCCGAGTCTGTAAAATAAGTTCTTCTCCTACTGAATCGTGTAAAGGCTGAAGCGCTATCATCGGTTGTACTGAAACTTCGTCTAAAGTTTCCACTGTCTCTATTGGTATTTCTACAGGAATAGTTTCCACTTCCACTTCTTGAATCTCCACTTCTGAACCTATGACCGACGCCATTTTGGCTCAGCGAATGAGGAGGGGGGAAGGTTGGGGGAGTTGTCCTCCACCATAGTCAATTTGCGTACTACGTCACCACGCATTCCCTGGCTCCCATACAGGGCTGTCGAAGTTGGTCAATCAATCAGGTACCGTCTCCACAATGAAGGTTGGCTGCAATGGATCTCCAACAAGCCCTGTCTCTTGCCCTTGATGTACACTCACTCATACTGCTGTTCGTCCATCTCCTGATGTTATCCTACCACTTGTAACGCTGTCTGCCTCTTGCTCGCCTACCTTGAACCTTTCCCTCTAGGATGATCTTTACAATACTGTTATGTCTTTTAATGTGGCCAAAATATTTTTCTTGTCTCTTTTTTTATTTCACCTAGCAACTCTCTTTTCATTCCCAATTTCCTCAGTACATCTGTATTTGATAGCTTTTGTTTCCATGAAATACGACCTAATCTTCTGTATATCCACATCTCAAAAGAATTGATACGATTTTCCAGTTGTTTGTTCATTGTCCATGTCTCTGTGTCATACAGTAAGGTTGAGAATACATAACATTTGACAATTCTCATTTTTAATGTATTGCTTATTTCTCTTTTGCATGTTGTTGAAAATGTTTTTGGCCATCCCTATTCTTTTCTTGACTTCTGTTTCACTTCTGCCGAGTTGGTACTTTCGTATAAATTTGCTACTATTTTATTCTTGTTGAGCAAAACTGTACCGCACATGATGGTTTGATACGTTTTGGAATTTTTACCTCAATATTTTAAATGTTTGCGTCATGTTCAGACTTTTAAAAAGTGATTGGAGATATGCTTGAAATGAACCTTATTTCTTAGCTGCTGCAGAAAGTCTTCTTTCTGTGTCGGAAGAAAAACAAATCGCTCTTCTTTGAAGACTTCAATAATAAATGCATTACGCAGATCAACGTTATGCTACAGGACATTAATTGCACCAATTCGAATTCGCCACAACAGATTTGTAATAAACTGAGCGGAAAAAAAAGGTACAGCTTTCATTTAATGCACTAATAATTTCTGTTTTAGTCAAAGGTTAAAGTTAAAGTTAAAGTGGAGTTCTTATCAAATATAGGTAGGTAGATGGATAGATAGATAGATAGATAGATAGATAGATAGATAGATAGATAGATAGATAGATAGATAGATAGATAGATAGATAGCTAGATAGATAGATAGATAGATAGATAGATATAGATAGATAGATAGATAGATAGATAGATAGATAGGATAGATGGATAGATAGATAGATAGATAGATGGAGGATAGATAGATGGATGGAGATAGATGGATGGATGGATGGATGGATAGATAGATAGATAGATAGATGGATGGATGATGATAGATAGATGGATAGATAGATAGATAGATAGATAGATAGATAGATAGATAGATAGATAGATAGATAGATAGATAGATAGATAGATAGATAGATAGATAGATAGATAGATAGATAGATAGATAGATAGATAGATAGATAGATAGATAGATAGATAGATAGATAGATAGATAGATAGATAGATAGATAGATAGATAGATAGATAGATAGATAGATAGATAGATAGATAGATAGATAGATAGATAGATAGATAGATAGATAGATAGATAGATAGATAGATAGATAGATAGATAGATAGATAGATAGATAGATAGATAGATAGATAGATAGATAGATAGATAGATAGATAGATAGATAGATAGATAGATAGATAGATAGATAGATAGATAGATAGATAGATAGATAGATAGATAGATAGATAGATAGATAGATAGATAGATAGATAGATAGATAGATAGATAGATAGATTTATAAAGCACCACTGTTAGTTTGATCACACTTGTGCAAAAACGCTGGCACGAGGTCATCGCAGGTTTAACCTTTCACCTTGGGGAGACATACACCATACACGGTGTCAGTCAGGGTTGCCATATTGGCATTTTATATGCCAGATCCCACAAATCTGGCATATTTGAAATTGAACTGGCATAAGATAATGAACTGGTATATTCTGGCATATTTGGGTTTTTCCTGGCATTTCTTATCAAGATGTGCTCACATTTTCTTTATGGTTACTCTGTTATAACACGCAAATTTACTAAACGCAATGTAGACCTACAGTTAAAAATCTTCATTTCAGTTTGACTTTGTTGTGATGTCCTGGTACGGACTAACGGAGATTCGCGCCATTTCTTATTGTTTTGTTGTCTCCCTAAACGGATCGTGACTGCTATAAACCTCTGTAATTTATGTTAATTTACTAGAATAAATGTCAGATATAAAACGAAAACCCTCCACTGATACCAAGTGATTCAGACTGTTCAGAAACTACCTGAGGACAAAAAATAGATAGGATATATACCTAGTTCTATCTGTAATAGATTTTATTACTTTTACCAATGGCCACGTCACCAAATAAATGGAAAGCATCTTATGACATTTCAAGTATAATAGTAACGCGAAGAAAACATACCCACGGCTCAAAATATCTTCAGACGGATCAGAGGCAGCATATTGCAAACTGTGTCAGTGTACTGTTGCACCAAGAATTGGTAGCATATCAGATCATAAAAAATCCCCCAAAAACACAGGACGAAAACTCCCAAAAAAAGGCAGTCACAGCTTATTACAACAATGACTCCTAGGCAAAGTAATGATAAAGTTAAAGCAGCAGAGTTGCAACTTGCTGTAAGCATGACCTGCCATTGTGCAATCTGCACAGTTGATCATCTAAGTAAAATCTTGAGGGCGCATCATCGGGGGGGGGGGGGGGTACATTGGATCACATACAGTTGCATAGAACAAAATGTTCATGCCCAATAAAAAATATTATATCCCCTGCACTTAAGGATGATTTTGCTGATAATTTTTCCGAAACAAAAAATATGACATCATTGTAGATAAGTTGCAAAGATTTCATCACAACTGAGAAAATGCTTAAATTTTACATCTCAAAAGGTTTACGCTGTATCTTCTGTTGGTTCCAGTGAGGATGACAGTAAAGAATTCAATCTAGAGCTTTTAATGTGAAGTGGGTACAATTTTATACTTTATCTGGCATTTTCCTGGCATATTTTGGGTAATGGTTTGGCATAAAATGAAGTTTTTTATCTGGCAACCCTGGACTGTCAGTGTCACTGTCCGGTCAATCACAAGACAGGAAGCATTGTCATACCGGTAGCAGTCACAGGACAAGGACCCAGGACTGTCGGCGATGCCAGTCTGTCAGTATTTTTTTTAAAGGAGTAGTCTGTCAGTAGCTCTGTGCTCTAGGCGGCTCTAGCAGCCACTGCAACATGGGAGCTAGGGTCTCCAGATCCGATTTTGAATGGGTGTATACAGAGGAACCCCACGCAACAAGGAGGAAGCAAATGCTCGGTAAGTTTTGTAGCAGTTTGTCAAGATACCGCCCCTATTTATTTAACATTCATTCATTCTCCTGTCTAACGTTGTTCGTCCTCTTCTGGACTTGTCTTGTTACAGAACCCCATTTTTTCCCAATGGGGCCCCGGAATCCACACGGTGAAAAATTCATTCAAAACGAACTGTCAGGGGTCAAGACAAGCTGATTCATAATAATATATGATTAACTACAGAACAGTAAACTAAGTAATATTAAACAGTGAGCACGGAAGGCAGCAATTAAGCAGCGGTGTCATAATTTTTTTTTAGAATAAGTTTGATTAGTGAGGACTTTTATCACAGCACTCCTGACATATCCATGAGTGCTCCGATCTCCTCTCCAGTAGCTCCACCATCACACCCGTTCTATCTTAATTAATCAGACGTTTATTTACCCTTAGTGGAATATTCATGAGTGGCTGCTTTAGGTTGCACTCCCATATCCACCAACCTGGAGAGGAATACCAATTCCTGCCGCTTGTAGTGATCTTGTTTGCAAAATACATCTTTCATGTGTCCAGTGCTGGGCCAGTCACACTAACTTCATTGTCTGTCAGATACCCTGCATGCTGACTGCCTTGAGCTCTGTAGCATAACCGGGCATAAAGATAAAGGTTAGGCGAGTTATTCAAGATGCATCTGGTGAGAGAGTCAGTTCTTGTTCTATGAACCTGACCTGGATTTGCTTGAGCATATTCATTGAGTCACTCAGCGTGCACGGTTATGTGAATTCTTGCTTACCCAGCCATGGTCTCCATTGTGAGGCTGCTTGTTGTAACAGCAAGGACACCACTTATCTCCTTAATAGTTTTTCCCTTTGTGCTTACAGTGAGTGGCCATGCAGTTTGCTTGCCGCAAGTGACTGATCAGTCTGTGTAAACCACAATATCGTCTACATCTGTGTTCTCTTCAATCAGCGTTTTGACTAAAGTGTCTACTATGCCAAGAATTGCTTCCGAATACCGGTCCCAAATTATTCACTGCAAAAAACATCCCTTTGAGAGCCTCAAGAGGTTATGTAGTAAAAATATTTAGGCCGTCATCATCAGTTTCCAGTTTGCCATTATTGCTCGATGAATGACAATATGAAGACGTTAAGCTAAGCATGTAATCCATTGAAGCATCATGGGCAAGAATAGATTCTTATCCATAATTTATGTGACATGGGGAGGAGTTGTTTACAATCCATTAAAGTGTCGTCGGGAGGAGTAGTTTTTTTATCCATTGTTCACATTACCCGTTACTCGCCTTGTGGGTTCCAGGGCCACATATTTGAGAGAAAAAAAAAGAATAGATCCACTGCCGCCTAAAAACATTGTGAAAGACGAGGGCTTGAAAAAAATTACCTCCCAGCGAGGAATCGAACACCGGTCACCTGCATGACAGGCGGAATTCTTACAACTTTACTGCCGAGGGACTTAAGAGTTTGGCTCAAATGAAATTATATAATAACGTGAAGTATAGTTCGTAGTGTTCTGTTCCATATTTTTAACTATATGGCCTCTTGAGGCCCTGAATGGCAGTGAATAATTTGGGACCGGTATTCGGAAGTGTGTCCAAGAATCTATTCTCTGCAGCTTCTGTTAAGGGTGATATGAACTATGATGCTGATGTTTAAAGCAGAAGACAAATGCACCGATTCATTTCCAGGATTAATGTCTGGCAGTTGACAAATCTGCTGGAAGGCATCCTTTCCACAATTCATCCAAGATGTGCTTCTTTTAAGTCTGTTCTTTTTTTAAGCTTGAACACCTCTTTGTGTCACAGGTGTCCTGGATCTGATTCCACTTTGAGGAAATTAATGTCCCTGGAAAGTTTAATTATGTTGTTTATAGTGAGGGAAAAGCCACAAGTTATCACATCAGTTGGCAGGAGGTGTCCCTAAAGTACCCCAGAATAACACACATTGCCTCATTTAAAATCTGTTTTTCCCACTCTTTTTATTTGTGTGATGCCATGTCATGATGGACACTGCATACTCAGTACTGGAGATGACTTATCTCTGGTTCAGAATCATAAGTAGCCATTGTTCATTCATAGCAGTCATAAAGATTAGATTAACACTAAATGTAATGTACGGCTCTGTGGCAAATACGGTTAACAATTTCATGATCCTCGAGTGCTGGGGCTGATTTTCTGCAGTGGACGGAAAAGCCATTCTCATGTTTTTTTCGAACAGTGGTACAACATGGAAGAGATTAGGGCCTCACATCATAATATTCCCAAAGACAGCATTGGTACAAAGTAGTCAACCTTCAGTGTGGAGATGGCACAGAACTTTAAATAAAATAATTTAGCTAAGAAGTTAACATAGAAGATGACAGACAGTCTTAGTCAGCCTTCATTGTGGAGAGGCACAGAACTTAAAATAAAATAATTTAGCTAAGAAGTTAACATAGAAGATGACAGACAGTCTTTAGTCAGCCTTCATTGTGGAGAGGCACAGAACTTAAAATAAAATAATTTAGCTAAGAAGTTAACATAGAAGATGACAGACAGTCTTTAGTCAGCCTTCATTGTGGAGATGGCACAGAACTTAAAATAAAATAATTTAGCTAAGAAGTTAACATAGAAGACAACAGACAGTCTTATCAGTAATGCTCAATCCAGTCCCTGTTCATGACACATATTGATTAAAAAACATCTGAGATTAGCTCAAGTACTTTAAGAACTTTGGACAGGGATTTTATGTAGAAGAAGAAAGATTTAAGCGACACACCACTAAGTAATTATTACAGTAGTGTTTAAAATGTGTTACCTTCAGCCAAGAGAGCAGTAAGAGACAGCGAAGGACGAACATACATAGAATGCCCAAATGGTTTACAAATCAACCAAGCTGTACCAACAGGTTCATATTCCTCCAATTACAGAGCAGAGGCAGATGCACTTCTGGTGGCATGTTTTTTCCTGAATGGACAACAGCACAGCAAATATAGTCTTTTTGACTGTTGCTTTGTCAGTTCTACAAGCAATTGTTAACCCAAAAGACACTCAGTTTGTAGACTTGATGCAACAGCTGATTCACCTAGGTTCTTCAGTAGAACAATCTGTAATGCAGTGGATTCCAGGCAATGAAATAACGGATTGATTGGCTAGAAGCGGCAGTGACATGGTACTAACCAAATAGTGACTTAACCCACATAGAGACTAAGACATTAATACTATCTAGTATCCAAGAAAGGTAGCTGGATACACACACCAAATTCTCTCCTCAAGATTTGCTTTATCCCCTCTCTAGAGATACACAGTGTATTCAGATTAAGGACAGAGCACAACATACTTCATCAACATATGTTCAAACTTTTTGGTGTAGGAAACATGTAGACGTGCCCCTGCAACTTGGCACCCGAAAATGCTGAGGATTTGCTCCAAGCGACAACAGACGCAAACTGGCCTGTTTCAACCACAATTAAGACAAAATTGTATGGTACAGGAGAGGATATGGACTGCACAATAGCTTTCATAGAGGCTACCAGCCTCCTGATATAAGTTTATGATAGAAGGATCAAAGAAAAAGAAGAAGAAGAAGACAGGCAAATATGTCTCATTTCATGTAATGTGAAGATAAGGTCTTTACTTTTGCCTGCTTCTCCTCTTCTTCTTTTCTCTACTACTGGAATGCCACGCAGTGTCTGGTCAGGAAAAAATCTCTGGAATGGGCCCTCTTCTTTCTGTTCATTTCAGATATAGTACTTTTTCAGTGTCTTTACTATTTATGCAGTCCATATTCTGGTCGACCTCAGGATCTATTACCGTTGTATCTGTATAACATTGCTCTCTGTAGTGGCTTGTCTGCTGCTGCTGTCTTGATATATGGCCAGACCATTTGATCTTTTGTCTACTAATAAAGTCTAGTATTCATCCTGTGATGACTGTCCTCCTTGATTTCTTCGTTCCTGGAATACTATGTAACATTTGAACATTTCATTTCTGTCATGACTATTTTCCTTCTAGAGACAGTGTCCATTATGTAGGCTTCTCTGTGGGACAGCATTCTACCTCTCCCTGTATGCTTCTTTAAAGCAGGTCCTGGAGAACTTTTGGCACTTCTGTTTGTGTTTGGATCACTCTACTCAGTGATCTCACTTGCACTGTCAGTGTGCTGAAAGAATTTGATCAGCAGTGCTGTAGAAAGACGTTTGATGGGTTCACCACTAGCTTACCCTATTTATCATTTTCCCTGTCATTTTCCATTACAAGAAGATCTTCAGTGATGAGCTCTGATAAATGTTATTGGAGCAATTCGTCCACATTAGCCTGATCCAACATATTTCCTTCCTAAATCGTATTGTAGTGAAAGCATGTAAATTGAGATCACAATTTAATGAGGAGTGTCGGTATGGGATAAAAACTTATGTCTTTTAACTCTTTGAGTCCCAGGGGGTTTAGCATCACAGGACCAGTGGGTATTAAAGAAAGTAATAAAGTCGGCACATCTTGCGTGCATTGGGCTTCTAGGTAGGAACCTATGAACGTATGCTGTGTTCCTTGGGACTCAAAGAGTTAATCAGGTTGTCTCTGGCATGTTAAGCATCATAACTCTTTGTTGACTACTGGGAAAGGAGAGCGAGCACATCTGGAAATTTTCTGAGTGCAGTTATAAGTAAGTAAAGAGAAGGACCTTCATTGTGCCAGTGGCGCATCCAGTGCCAGCCACCTTTACTCTCCCAGGACATTACCTGGTATCTGTTTTACCCTGGGTCAACCTGGGAGCCAAGGAAAGTTTATGAAAAACAAAATACCTGCCTCAGTTCAGATTTGAACCCTAGACCTTCTAGCCAGCGTGCATCTGACCGCTATACTACCATGGCTTCTGAGTGCATTTATGTCAGTTCATAATTCATTCATTCAGTTGATGCATCTAGAATAAATGTTTTAATTTTTAAGAATTAGGGTTGTTATAATTCCACCATTCTGTGGATGCATCCTCATTTCAGAGTATATCTGAGCTCCGCATAATGGTGGATGTATGGCAACCATAGTAAGAACAATTTCATAAGTGCTAGAAAATCAGTCAGTCACAATTTTGAGAGCATGCATCTTCCCTGTAGCAACGTATGGATGTGAAATGCAGTCCTTAAGAAATAAAATAGGGACTTTTGAGCTGAAGTGCTACAGAAAGATTTTCATGATACAATGGACATAGAAGGAAAGAAATACTGACATCCTAAAAGATCTGAACATCAAGGAAGACTGGCTAATAAACAGCAACTTGTCTTAGGAACTGAAATATTTTGGCCATATCATGCACCACGGCGGATTGAAAAAAAGATAGTAGCAGAAGGCATGATACCAGAAAAGAGGGGCAGGTGCCTACCAGCATGATGATGGGTACAGGAAATAAGTGACAACTTGGGGAGAAAAGTGGGAGAGCTGGTGAGAGACCAAGTTTCTTTCAGGCAGACTATGATGAGAGTGACCTTCTGCCAAGGACCTATTACATGAAGATGCTATTAGATCATGCCTGCCTGAATTTAGTCTGCAGTGATTGGATTTAAATACCTCAGTGAAATGTTTTTCTTTTTTCTGTTCCAGCAAAATACCCAGAACTGAAAAAGCTTATGGGAACTGATGCAAAGTTCAAGTACATTGTGACTGTTTTAGTAATTTTGCAGCTGTTAATCTGTTATGCCATAAAAGACCAGACCTGGCCCACAATCTTCATCTTTGCATATGTGTGTGGAGGGACAATCAATCACTCTCTCACACTAGCAGTCCATGAAATTGCTCATAACTTAGCATTTGGTTACAGCCAGCCCCTGGCAAACAGACTGTTTGGCTTCTTTGCGAACTTGCCGATAGCTGTACCAATGTCCATTTCCTTCAAGAAATATCATCTGGACCATCACCGATATCAAGGGGATTCTGAGAAGGATGTCGACATTCCATCTGGACTGGAGACAAAGCTGTTCAATCGTACTTTTTATAAATTCATCTGGGTGCTCCTGCAACCATGGTTTTACAGTCTCCGGCCTTTCTTTGTTAATCCAAAAACGATGACCGTTTTGGAGATCTGGAATATTATTATTCAGTTTGTCTTCGATTTTGGCATTTATCACTTTCTGGGATTCAAAGCTCTAGCCTATCTAGTAATTGGTAGTTTCATGGCTACAGGACTTCACCCAATGGCTGGACATTTTATTTCTGAACATTATATGTATGTCAAAGGTTATGAGACCTACTCCTACTATGGCCCACTTAATTGGTTAACGTGGAATGTGGGATATCACAATGAGCATCACGATTTCCCGAATATCCCAGGTTCTCGGTTGCCAGAGGTGAGAGTATACCTTGTGTTGTTAGTGTCTAAAGAAATTTTTGCTAAAGTTGTTCTGTTTGTTGTTTAAAATATTGTTGATAACAAATATTATGAATGTTAATGATCGTGATTGTCTGATGAGCTAAAATAATAACACATTCTTTTAGTTAGTTAGATTACTTTTATGAATAATCGGCAATCAGGTGCCGTCTGCACAATGAAGGTTGGCTGCAATGGATCTCTAACAGGCTCTGTCTCTTGTCTTGGTTTTACACTCTCTCAGACTGCTGTTCATGCATGTCTTGATGTTGTCCCACCACTTGTAATGTTGTCTACCTCTTGCCCTTGACCTTTCCCTTTACTATGACTTTTAACAGCAAATTGTGTCTTTTAATGTGGCCTAAAAATTTCATTTGTCTCTTTTTTATTTCTTTAAATAGAAATCAGTAAATTTCTTTGTGACTACGTGCACATCTCTTTTTTTTTTTTTTTTTGCTTACATAAATACTGACTTATCTTAAAAATATGGTTTATTCATAGTCAGAATGAAAAATCCTGAAGAATCCTTTTGTTATTATAGTGCAAATAGAAATTTATATATGAAAACTTTGTATGGGTTAAACTGAAGTTTGAACAAGTGATCAACATCATGGCACACGGGTATTAACCCATAAATGCTCCGTTCTTCTTCTAACTCAAGTCCAAGTCCGAAGAAGCTAAGTACAGTGCTCAGGCTCTGTAGCACTGGCGAGGATCCTGAAATACTTTTGGGTAGATTTTTAACTCAAAATTTTGCCCGGGCAGCCCCGTTAGGCTACTCTTTTCGATTTCCAACTGCCAATGGATTTTTTACGTGCGCAGCACTGCACACCAGCGTCCGATCTCACTACCCAGAGACCAGGGGAAATTACTAGACAACCAAATCCATGTGGAAAAAAAAATCTCAACCCTTACTCGAGATTGAAGCCGAAACCTCAAGCACTCGAGGCGGACACCATGCCTCAAGACCACGCAGCTCCCTAGAGGTTAAATTATGATTAGTAAGCAAAAGTTCATGTTTAAAACCCGTTTTGCAAATTTATAACGTCACTAACCCACTGCCAACTCTACACTTAATGGTAGCTGCAGTGGCTTTCCCAGTACTACAAAATAATATTTCTTTGGTTGTAAACTCTGACTGACTGTATTTGGCCATTGCTTTGTGTCATCTTCTCACCTGCATCTCTCTCTACATCCTTCTCTACCTCTTGCCTTCTGCATTTGACTATTTTCCTCACCTTTAAACTCTTTCAGACACGAGCACTAAAACACTTTCTATATTGTGTATGGTATGTGTACTTTAGAGAGACAAATTTTGAATCTTTAAGAAGTTAACAAAATAAATTATAAGACAGTAACATTTGGCGTCAGCAAAAAATTATTTGGAAGCTGTGGGGATGTGGTTTTATAGACAAGTGGTGAGAATACCCTGGACAGATAAAACAGTAATGATGGTGTCTTGAAAGAAACTTACTCATGAAGAGAACTGATTACCCACATCAGAAAGAGACAATCTACATTCTTTGGTCATGTGATGAAAAGGAGAAAACTGGAGTACATCATGACAGTAGGAAAGTTGGAGGGAAGGAGAGGCAGAGGGAGACTAAGAGAAATGATAAAGGACAATTTGACATTATGGCATGGAGGATCTTCTGTGTCAGAGTTTATTGAAAGTACACAAAACAGAAGGTTATAGATAGACATGACTACCAATGCCACACAACATGGACTTTAGGAAGAAGAACATTTGGCATCGAGTGGCTTCATTCACCAGAAGAACAGGAGAGTTCCAAAATGTATCCATGCACAGTAGAATGTAAGTAAAGGAACCTTTTTGTGCCAGTGACATATCGGGCACATGATGCTGGATTTTGTGGGTGGCGTGGGTAGTATCACGCTGACCATCTTTACTTCCCACTGCACTTCCTTACTTTGTACAGAGTAGTCGAGAAAATTTGATGAGTTACTTAGTATTCGTAGAATTAATGTGTTTTAATGTAGCCAGAGTAATCGGTTTTTTTTCTCCATTTCTTTTATCATGTTTTTTATTTTAAATTTCCAGCTCCTTTTAGACTTTGCATTTATTTTCTTTCAATTTAATGAATTTATGAATGAGTTCCGGGGCCCTATTATAGGGGAAGGAAAAACAGACCCGCTGCCTACCTGAAAGCATGTCATAACAGTCGACTGATGGGGAGCTTCTTTCGAAGTCAGAGTGCCTCTGCCTGAGAGGCAAGGGACGAGCAGTCTGCATACAAATAAGTCAGATGTGTTAAATGGATACGCATACATAACTCAGGTTCTGCAACAGGACTTCCATTCAGAAGCGGATGAACAATCAGAACTTACCGCCAGAGTTTATAGTTGGTGAATGTTAAGAAAAAGAAGATTTTATCGAAACCTCCCTGTCTAGGTTATGGGGCTCCATTTGGAAAGGAAAGGGGAAGTAGACCAGATCTGTAAAATGGATCTGCACACAAAACTTAAATTCTGGAACAAGACCAAAGTCCAGACGTGGACGAAGAACTGGAACGTTCTGCCAGAGTTTACAGCCAGTGAATGCTATAAGAAGGAAGACTTTAATGTTAGCTGTTGACCTCTTTGTGGTCTCCCTGGCTAAGCAGTTAAGACATTAGCCTCGTGCTTTGAAGATCATAGGTTTATTTCACAGACTGTGTCATTCGGTTAACGAGTGCAATTTTTACAAAGATCCATGGGATCACTACTGGTGTTAAATTGTTCATTCTTTGTTTGATTCTCTCGTCGAGCAGTTTGCTTATTTGGGAAGAGAGACAAAGCCATACATGGTAAACCCAGGGCAGTGAAGTAAATCAAGTTAACTTTAAACATTTTGTTCTTTTTATTTTAACTATTCACTAAGTGTTTTGATGTATTTTTGTTTCCAGAAATATTTATATATATATATATATTTTTTTTTTTTTCAGGTACGAAAAATTGCCCCTGAGTACTATAAATGTTTGCCATCTCATCATTCATGGATTAAAGTTATCTGGGACTTCATATTTGATCCAGAAATAGGACCGTACTCACGAGTTAAACGCATAACAGGAAACAAGAAAGAAAACTAAATTTATTATATTATTAACCTATTTAGTACCAAGCCGTTCATCAAGTCTTTTTTGGTTTCAACTCACATGGTGCATGTTTCTTAACTCCTTTTGTTACACCCAGTTGTTACACTAACCCACTTGCTCGAATTGTTTACATTAATTATTACAGTTGTTAAATAAATTTTACGGAATAGGCTGGCAGATAGTAACAAATCTCATACGGTACCGTGACTGTATGAACCAAAAATGAAGCGTGGTGAAGCATGTGGGTGCTTTCAAAGGTCAAGATAGGATACATTGTAACCAGCTTCTCATGGGAGCAGTCAGTAAAGGTACCTTGGAGTGGCTGCTGCATTGCAGGACTGAGTGCCTCTGGGATTGCCCAGTGTGCAGTGACATTGATTGTATTATTATTTAAACTGATTCTGAGCCAGACATTTATGATTGAAATAAAAAACTCACTGGGACAGCGTGGGTTTAAATAATATTTGTCTACTACCTAAAGAGTTCAATGTGAGGAGAGGAAAAGGGTAACATGAAACAAATGTTTGTGCCAAATAAATATTATGTTTTATTCCTTTGTGGTCAGACAATCTTTCTCCTAAAGCAGCGGTTCTCAGCCTGTGGGTCGCAACCCCTTTGGGGGTCGAACGATTATTTTACAGGGGTCGCCTAAGACCATCAGAAAACACATATTCAGTGAAGTTATGAAGTAGCAATGAAAATAATCATATGGTTGGGGGTAGCCACAGCATGAGGAATTGTATTAAAGGGTCACAGCATTAGGAAGGTTGAGAACCACTGTCCTAAAGAAAGTAAAAGTAAACAGAGTGTCATACTGAGTATATATTGTGTGGCTCTGATCTCTTCCATGGTAACGATCCTCCCACCACTGTCAGTAGCCATGAAAATAGTCTTTTTCTAAACTGGTAGCTCTAAAAGTTAAATCCTCTTGCATGGAGGATTTATTTTCTTGTAAACCCATGCATTATTAACCTTCATAGCCGCACTTGCATAAATTAGTGAAGTCCTGTATCTAGGCATGACACATTCTATTCAGATGAGGAACCAGGCAGAAGCTGAAAATCGTACACTGACCCAAGCATAAAATAGCATCATCTCATGTGTTTTATGAAATGTTGCTCGTAAACATTCTGAATACTCATGATAGTTTTGTTTATTTGAGTGCCGTCTTTGATTAATATTTTATTTATTTATTTCAGCTCAGCATTCTTAGGCAGTTCAGTGATGTGACATAGTATTCAGCATTGCTTATATTACTGTTTGTCTTCGTTTTTTTGTCTTTTGTCTTTTTTGGTACATCTTTATACATTCATCGGTGCTAATATCAAGTTAGTGTTTAAAAATTAACGGATGTGCATGCAACACCCAAGTCCTGAAACATAACTACAGTCCAGAAGTGGACAAACATCTAGGACTTTCCACTGGAGCCAGTGAATGTGAAAAAGAAGAGCAAGAAGTAGAAGAAGAGCTTAAAAATAATAACAGTGCAAAATGTTTAATTTCAAAAACCGGTGACTGCTATTAAATTGTGATTGTTAAAAATTATTAATTGTTATTAATTTCCAGTATATTTTTGCAACATTTTAAAGAATGACAGTATGTCAAACATAAAAAGTTGTCTCTTTTTATAAATACATTATAAATGTATATTTGAGACCGTTGCTTGTTTCTACTGCACAAATGTTATCAGAATTATGAATTTAAGGTTTATATTTATACTATTACGTTATTCCCTGTGTGGATTCCGAGGCCCCATTGTGGGGAAAACAAGAATAGACTCACGGCCTCCTCAACAAGCAAGTTGTAGGAGTAGACTAACTAGAGGCTTCCTTCGAAGTCGGAGTGCATCTGCCTGAACAGTCTGCATACAAAAAGGTCAGATCTGTAAAATGGATGTGCATCCAACACTCAGGTTCTGGAACAGGTCTAAAGAACAGAGATGGATGAACAACCAGAGCTTTCCGCTGGAGTTCACAGCTGGTGCACTCAACGAAGATTATGTTGTCATTTCTAAGAATCCAGCATGAGCAAATACTAATAACTCTGTTAGCTGTGTGACCTAGTTATATTAGGGCACCCATTGCTTCTGGAGTAACACGTAGTCCAGTTTATGTGGTGACTCTGATAGCGATTTCACATTATTTGTGTGTGTGTGTCATTACCCGAGAACGCTAACTGGGGAAACAAATTTCTGAAGTTGGATGTGTTGGCTAAAAAGCACAAGATGTTGCTTAAAAATTAATGGATGTGCATGCAACACTCCAGTCCTGGAACAAGACGAAAGTCCAGAAATGGATGAACATCCAAGACTTTCCACTGGATTTTATAGCCTTGAATGTGCTGCAAAGATGTGGTTTTATAGACAAATGATGGGAATACACTGGACAGATAAAAAGAGTAATGAAGACGTCTTAAAAGAAACCTACTCACGAAACTCACAAAGAGAACTGATTGCCCACATCAGAAAGAGACAATCTACATTCTTTGGTCATGTGATGAGGAGGAGAAAACTGGAGTACATCGTGACATTAGAAAAGTTGGAGGGGAGGAGAGGCAGAGGGAGACCGAGAGAACAGATGCTGTATGGTCTGAGATCATGGCATGGAAGATCTTTTGTGTAAGAGTTGATTGAAAGTACACGAGACAGAAGTTTGTGGATAGACATGACTACCAACGCCACACAGCAGGGACTTTGAGAAGAACGTGAATAAGAACAAGAATTAGAAATGCTTACAAATAATAATGCACAATGGTTTGCTTCAAATGTCAGTGACTGCTATTTCAGATAATTTTTCCTGAATGTTTTTTGCAACATTTTAAAGAATTACTTGATTTATAGAATAGAAAAAATGCCACTTTTTATACATACATTTTTTTTATATATTGTAAACTGTTTCTTGTTTCTGCTGCACACGTGTTATCAGAATTATGAATTTAATCTTTATATTATTACTTTGTCATTTGTCAGAAGGCTTTTTTGTTCTTTTCTTGTTGTTGGCATTTTCTAGAATATTTAACTGAGGTTTGAGGGTTTGAACAACGGATCAACATCATGGCACACAAGTAGTAACCCATAAGTGCTCCGTTCTTCTTCTAACTCAGAGTCTGAAGAAGCTCAGCACAGTGCGCAGGCTCTGTAGCACCAGCGAGGATCCTGAAATACTTTGGGAAGATTTTAAACTCCACATTTTGCCTGGGCAGAGCCTTTAGGCTACTCTTTTCAATTGATTTCCAACTGCCAAGGGATTTTTACGTGCGCAACAATACACACAGGCGTCCGATCTTATTACCCAGAGATCAAGGGGAATTACTAGAATTCCAAGTCCATGTGAAAAAATCCCAGCCCTTACAGGACATAGAACCCGGAACCTTTAGCACTTGAGGCGGACATCGTGCCTCGAGACCATGCAGCTCCCTTGAATATTTAAATGAAGATATAGCAGAGATAGCCTATACTGAACTGTTATTTTCAACAGATCTGCTAGATTCTGGCCAAATATCTAGTCTTGCTAGTAATCAGTCAGTCAGGTGCCATCATTACACATCAGCGATATATCGGGTATACAAGGGAGGTTAGACCCATATTTCTTTACAGGCTAATTGGCACTCAGCAGGTGATGTGATCAGCATCACGCCGGCATCATTTACTTCCCAGGTCTTTACCTGGTAACCGTTTATTAAGGCTGGGTTGACCTGCGAGCCAGGGTCATGTTTATCGCTAAAGGTTGAGTGCAATTTATCTCCAAATCACTTCCAGGTCTCTCTCTCTCTCTCTCTCTCTCTCTCTCTCTCTCTATGTGTGTCTCTCTCAGGGGTGGAAAACAGAAAACAAGTTGGATTTTACAAACAGCAAATCAAAAGCTGAATAATTTTACCTTGACCATCCCCTTACAATGAAAGCACTGTATAGAGAGATGACATGAGCAGCTGTAGAATGTGTTTTAAGGAGCAATCAGGTGTGCTTTGAACCTTTTTTTTAAATAACATCCAGGGTGCCTTCTTTAACAGAAATCAAATGATCGTTGTTTAATGAGAATAAACGTCCTTTTCCACGTCTTTAGACGTATTAGGAATAAAGCGCTAAACCTGTATATTTATAGACCAATTGGCACTTGATGTATGATGTGGTCAGCATTACGCCGGCCGCCTTTACTTTACTTTACTACTAACCAGGACTGCACCTGGTACCCACTCAAGTCTGGGTCAACTTGGGATTCAGGGTCATTTCTGAAAAAAAATTCCGGCTCCATCAGGGCGCGAACCCACTATCTTCCAATCTGCCGGCGTCTACCGCCAACCCCACAGCGACTCCCTTCACTATGTAATGGAAGGATTATGTACCAAAAACAATATGCTGTGAAGTAAACACAACAAAAAAGTTTCTTTTTTTGGTGCTTATTCCACGATGAAGGTTGGCCACAGCATCTATTCAATGGTGGGATTCTTATACCATAATTGGAAAATCACAAGAATGTGTTTTTAAAAAAAACATAGTCTACCCCTGAAATCGAACCTTTGTACCTGAGAATAATTAAAATACTATAGTGAAGCTTGAGGTTAATATGACCAAAGAACAAAACATGCTCTATATTAGACCATATAAAATTTGAACATGTAATGAACGATAATCTTTTTTGGTAAAAGAACAAATCCGTAGCCAATGTTAAGACGAAATGCAAACAATTACATGAGATAAGAAGACAGAACATTTCAGACATTTTCCTGTCTCTTTCTTGAACAAATATGAAAAACTGGCAGAGTTGGAGATAACCAATCTTTGCTACAAGAAGTGGGGTAATTAAGAAACAAAACTCAAGGTCTGAAAATGACTTGTACAGCGAACATAAAAAAAGTAAGTTTTAAATAAGATAAACGTAGAAGGCCCCCCTATGATCCTAATGAACGAAAGGGGCTCTAAATCAGATAGTTGAAAAAGTGGACATAAAGCATAATGTGATGAACTGTAATCTTTCTGGTATAAGCCAACAAATCCA